ATCTCGGTTTCTTTGCTGTCTCCAGATGCCTGCTGGTGTTCCTCAAGCAGAGTACCCTTCAGGTACACAGAGCTTGCCTGGGGCTCTGCAGCAGGCACTGCAAATGCAGTTGTTGCAGTGAGGGAGGTTTGAAATCCGGAGAAAAGCAGCTGGAGCCTGACCATGGAATGGATTGCAGTGGAATAGCCCTGGTGTTCCAGGGCTGTCTGTAGGAACATGTGCATGCTGTGCTGGAGAGGAGCAGTGGTCTTGGAAAAAGCAGATGCTGTTTGTTTGTTTGGGTTGAATGAAGTTGGGGTTTTGTTTTGGTTCTTGTTTGGAATGTTTCTTGGGGGGGAAAAAAAACAAACCCAGCTTTATTTTAAGTGCTGGTAAAATGGAATTTTTGGAAGAAAAGAAGTCAACATGGGAATAACTTCAGTTGTCTGTTTAAATGGAAGGTTGGACTGTCTTTGAAATGACTCTACAAATCCCTGAATGTATTTAGGATGCCTGTCAGTTTTAGGGGAATGCTCAGGCTTCTGGACAAGGCTTTTCCTCCACTGTTTGGGTCAGTGGATTTCACTAAGCAGCTTTTCTTGATCATGTGCCAACTTTGGAATTTAATGTACTCTCCCCCTTTCTTAGTCTGACCCACAGCATAGTGGATTTGCCTTTCATTCTGGTGCTGTGACCTTGCTTTGGCACAGAGCTTTGGAAGATGACTTTCCCAAAGTATCTACAATCTACACTTTTTTTTTTCCTTTTGTTTGTTTATTTTAATTGCAATGGACATTATTAATAATTTTTGTGCTGCTGCCACACACAGCTGATCCATTAGAAGATAGATTTGCAAATGCCCTGCATTCAGCCTGTGTGCTCTGGAAAAGAGTTTGTGTTTCCAGATTCATCAGGTGAGAGGTCTGAAACAGCTCCTGTCCAGGGACTGAGCTGCTGGATGTGGATCCCACTGCAGTCATGGGAAGAGGTGTTGATAGAAACAGCATGGAAGAGATCTGTAGAGTCAGGATTTGCATGGAGAAAGAGGATAGGGAAAAGCTGATCCCTTTTCTAGCCCAAGAACTGCAGGGCAACAAGTGACCCCAGGAAATGGCAGATTTCTCTTCAGAGGAACTGAAGAGGGCTGGTCATGCAGCACGTTTCAGCTTTGTCATGTGCAGTTATGAATACTAAAAGTCTGCTTGGATTAAAGAATAACTTGAATAAATTCTGGATATGGATATGGAGATGGATACAGAACTGTTAAATGTGAAGACATCTCTGTTACAAGAAGCCTCTGAGTTATTCACAGCACGTGCCATGGCTCTGTCCTGGGAGACAGGACTGTCGAGTGATCCTGTTCTCTGCACCCCCTGCCAGGCATCCTGTGTTGGAAATGAGACACTGGCGTTAGATGGACAGTTGGCCTGACCTTGCGTGGCTGTGCTGAGTGTATTCCTATCCTGCTGCTGTTGGTGACCTCTTGGCAGTACTGAGAAATTGGGATTGATGATCTGGGACCGTTCAAACAAGACATGTGTCAGTGCAGTCAGCTCTGAAACAAACCCCACTGGCCTGATCAAATACATGGACACTGGATCCTGAAACAGTAACCCCTAAAAATAACCCAGGGGTCATTGTGAAACTCAGCAAGTGCTTTCAGTGCAGTGCTGAGATAGAAATCAGTGACTGCAGCACTTTGAGTGAGACCCAGGTGTAATAAGGGGTGTTACGTGCCATGCAGACTGTTGGACCATCCATCTGCACATCTGTGTACACAGCTATACGTCCATGTAAGGCTGGGCTGTGCATCTGTGTATACACCTGGATCCACGTTCAGTCTCCCTGTTAACCCCCTGGAGACCTTCCTCCTGTGACCATACCCCAGCCCTTTCTGTGCCCAGGGTCAGAGACAGTTGCCTGGCCTGTGCTGTGGCTGCACAGTGGATCAGGCCCTGCAAATTCTGTCCTAGGTGTGTTTGTGAGGTTTATTTTTGGCCACTCCAAGCGCACACAGGGAGTTGGGGATGCTGAGCAGCTTTGCCTTAACTTCATACTTGTGTTTGGGAAGTGAACATGTTAATAAGTAAAAAAGGGATTTGCTCCTCAATACTCTGCTGTCACCCTTGAAAATCACCTGGCTTTAAAATACTGAATGCACTTAGACAATTATTTTATGTGCATTTTGGTACTTTGCTATTTCAAGAACTCTGTAACTGCTGAAGCTGGGAGAAAGCAGAGCAATCCATTGCTCTGTCAGGATGTGAATTACATCTTCAGATATTCCCTGAGGTATTCTCCTTGCCTAAAGTAAAGTTGAGTCAACTTTGGGGATAATTGTAAGGCCACAGGCTTTCCCCTCTGTGTGTGCATGCCCTGTCCTCCTCTTTGCCATGTGTCCACACTGCTGGGGATCCCATGCTCTGCTCTGAAAGGGTGGCAGTGAAATCAGTGGGGGATACATGGATATTGCCACTGTCTGTGGCAATTTTGGAAAGGAAACTGAAAACAGGTTTAATTGGCAAGTCTTTCACAGGGCGCAGCGTTCTTGCAGCAGCTTTTGGGCAATACAGGTGTGATTCATTCTCTGCCTTCCTGGCTTGGCCTCGCTTTGATAAAGCTGCAGATCTCACATGTTTGTATCCTTTACACCCAGAGCTCCTGCTCACAGAGGCAGCTCTGTAGGTGGACAGGAAGGAAGTTGAGTGATGTTGGCTCAGTGAAGAGATGCTGCAAAAAGAGTTTCTAGTTCAGAGGCTCTGAAATTTGCCCTTGAAGGCACAGAAAGGAGGCTCTTGAGTTGTGTGAAATAGATTGTGTTTGGTCACGCCAGAGCGGTGGCTCTGTCTTTGTCAGCTGGTCTCTGATTAGAGCATCTCTAAGACCTAGTGATCCTCAGGGGTAAATGCTCGAGCTCTCTGCATTGCACCAAGGGAGTGTTTCAGGTATGAGAAATCTGCTTTGCTTTCTGACCTCCCTGTGAAGACAAGTTTGCCCATTTTGTGTGCAAGACCTTTCAGTGTCCTGTAGCAGATTTACCCTCACCAAGTGCAGGCAGGAGTTCCCCCAATACTCTCACTATTCCCATCTTATAGGAAGTCAGAACAGTTGTATTTGGCCACCCCTGTGGCTCAGGGTGGAGGGAAGGAAGGAATTATGTCCCTCTCATGCACAGCACAGCGTTAGTGCACACAGGACCATGGTGCACGTACGAAGGGCATGTCTGTACAGGCTGGGTCATGAATTCCCAGACTTTTGGGGGCCTGTGGTATTTGCTGAAACCCAACCTTCATCCACCTACAGCTGAGCCCTCCCTTTCTGTCGTTCCGGCTCAGCTGAGCAGGGCGCTCCTGGCAGCCGGCCCAGCGAGCCGGCAGCTGGTCTGCAGCTCCTTTTAGATGAGATTCTCCTCTCCCAACCTGATCCAGATCATCCCCCTCTCCCTTTTGTTGACCTATTTCCCCCCTGCCTCCCCCTGCCCCGTTGTGTATCTCTTGCAATGGTGAGCTTGGCTGTTAGTGCAGCTCCCTGCCCGGAGCAGCTGCAAGGAGCTGTGGGAATATCATGGAAATGCCATGCGAGGCAGCGCGTGTTTCGGACAACCAGTGCCTAATTTAGGTTGGGAGGGACCTTTGCAGGTTGTCTGGCTCAGCCACTGTGGCTGGGATAATTCAGGAAGCTCAGGGCCTTGTTTTGTTGAGTGCTGAATGTCTCGAAGGATGGAGGTCCCTTTGCCTCTGGTCCTGGCCTAGGACTTGGCCTCTCTCAGGGTAGAATCCTTGCATGTTAAAGGAAGAGTCCTTGCATGTTAAACTCATTCTGCATTTAAAATAAATGGACTGTGTTAACATTTTTTAGAGCACTGAGTTTTAATTCAGTTTTTCTCCTTTTTAAGTCATGTGTGCCTGCTGAATTAACTGACTGCTCTGTCGATCGTGGTGGGGGAAGAGGTTGGGACACTTGATTTACTTTTTTTGTCCCCTATGGGATCTGTGGCCCAGGACAATGCTGTGAGGGAATGGGATCTGTTGTCCCTGTCAGCACACATGCTTCCCACTGCTAGCTTGCAGTTGTGTGTGTGCTAGGAGAGGAAGAAATATGGGCTTGTAGTATAATTTAGATTGGAAAGTACCTGTGGAGGTATCTGAGTATCCGAGCTGATCTTCCTCCAATGAAATCTATTTTCTCAATTGTTTCTCTGATCATACACAGTGAAGTAGGTGCTCTGCCAGTCTGAAAGAGTTGTCCCTGTCCTACTGCCTGTGACCTAAACAGGAGGGGAAAACTGCAGGAGAGTGGGCAAGATGACAGCGAGTCACTCTGCTTGCTTTGGCATTTTGGTAACACAGCAGTTTTTATTTAAATACCATATCATTATTATTTATGTATGAAAACCACTCTTAGTTCAGGGTTGCTACCGGTTCTGTAATGTTCATGCTGTACTGGTATTGCTCTGTGCACTGTGTTGTGTTTCTAGAAAATGACTGCGTTTAAAAGAGAGGAGAAGCAGCAGTGAGAAACGGCCACTTGCTAATTTCTAAAGTGGTAGGTAGGTAGGACAGTGTGGTGTTTCAGCTTTGGGTGGGCAAGGAAGGCTGCCTGTGAGTCACGAGCTGGTTTTAGAGGGAGGTCAGTGGCTTTTGGTACTGCAGTCACTTAGCTGGTTGGACTGGATCCAGATCTCATTAAGATTTAATTCATAACTGGTTCTTAAGGAATCTGAATCTCGTAGTACTCTCAGCAAAAATCTTCACGGGAGGCAACTCTCGAACTTGTGCCTGCGGTCTCAGCAGCTGGCTCGAGGTCCTGTGGGCCTGAGGAATGTGCCGTGTCCTCCGAGTGCCGGGTCCCGGCTGACCGGTGCGGTCACGAGCCGTGACACCTGAGCCCTGGTGGGGCACTTTGGGAATCCATCCAGCGTGGGGCCTGGGTCCTCAGTCACAGCCTGGAGCCTCTCTCAGCATGGAGCGTGTCAGGGATGAGCTGGATTCCCTCCTGACTCTGATTTCTCCCCCTCCCAGGCCTGAGGACAAGCGCGGGACGATGTCGGAGGCGCGGCACGACAGCACGAGCAGTTTACAGCGGAAGAAGCCACCATGGCTGAAACTGGACATCCCGGTGCCAGCGCCCGTGTCAGTGCCAGAGGAGCCCCTCCAGCCTGTGCAGGTACAGAGGGTGGGGCAGGAGCTGGGAAGGAGTTGTGTTGGGAGCCTGTCTGTGCCTGGGTTCTCTGACAGTCCTGGCTGAGAGGGAGGGATCGTGTGATGGCAGGTCATGAGGCCACATAAGACAGGGCAGAGCCTTTGAGTGAATTTATGATCAGCAATTATCTCCCCTTGAGGGGGATGTGGGAGGGGTGAGGGTGGGTGGCTGATGTGCTCAGATCAGTAGATGTGAGTGTTTGGATGTGGGCATTGTGAAAACTGTCTTGGCTGGGGATATGGGAGTGAGGTATTCAAACAAGCATTTCTTAAGGGGACTGGGGGAGTGGAGGGCTCCTAGACTAACATGAGGGCCTGGAAGTGCTGCAGCTTGTGTTGAAATGAGCTGGGAATGAATCTGACTTATGAATAGCCAAAATAATGACAGGCTTTCATCAGTAACAGCAGAGAAAGAACAGTTACTGGCAACACGAAGCTGTTACCAGCATGAGGAACATAAGAAAACCATGTGGGATGAGAAATAAATAACATTGAAGAGTGCTGAAGCAGAGATGAGGTGATAGGTTAATAGAAACTGCAAAGCCTGAGAGTAAAGTGTCCTTATTTGTCCTGGGAATAGGAAAAATATCAGGAATTTCTGCTAAGGTATCAAAAAGTGATGTAGGGGCGAGACCTGGGTAAGATGAATGCTGGCTGCTCATGTGGCCTTGCTGCAGGAACAGAGACTTTGTGCCCCGAAGGCAGAGCTGGAGGGCTCTTGCTGCCCATCTCTGTGGGTGGGTGCAGGACTGGGTTCAGTCACTTATGTGGAAGAACAGTTTAGCCATCAGAGAAATGGAGGGTTACACAGCTTCCCTGGAGCAGGGCTGGGGACAGGCTTGGCTTAAGAGGGAACTTATATTGCACTTGGAATAGCAAGAACTGTCCTCTTCACCATTCTGTGATCCAGGGACTAAAGTGAGCTTCGGTTATGTGACAGCTTCTGGCAGATAAACCTGGGTCCTGGTCTCCCCTCGGAAGGAAAAAAATCAGGGGTCAGTTTGCAGGGATTAAAAGGGGAGTACAGGCTGTTAGCAGGGCAGGTTGAAAGCTTCTGAATGAATTATTTAAGGCTTTGATGGATGTTCCCTCATCTGAAATCTCTAAATCCAGTTGGGCAACTTCTGGAGAGACTCTGTACTGGAAGCTGGTGGAAGTGATGTTCTCTGAGGGTCCTGTGTGCACAGCCTAGGATAAGAGTGCATCCCGTGCTCCTTTGCCTTATAACCTGAGTATCTGTGCATGTTTTTACATAAACCAGCAAAATTGTTAACACTGGTGAAGAACATGAGCTTCCTGGGCTAGAGGGGCTGAAGTAGTCTTGAGGCAGAGAGTGTCTGAGCAGAGAAACAGTAGCTCAGAGCTTCGCTTTCCAGAGGGATAGACTGCTCAGCCTGCATTGTACAAATGGGAGATGGTGTCTCTGCCAAGCTGATAAAAAATTTAATCCAGAGCAGCCCTGGGGAGGCAGTGGTATGAGCTGAGAACAGCCTGCTGAGTTGTGTTATATTTGGTAGGTCACATTTAGCCAAGGCATGCCAGGAACTTTCAAACCTGAGTGTGCCCCAGACAATTAGGCTGTAAACAAAGCCAGTGTGCCTTTCCCAGCTTGCTTAGCCTGCAGCAGGCAGCAGCTACAGCACAGACAGACCCACCACAGCTCTCATGGGCTTTTAATGCAGATCCAGAGTCACCAAATAAGTCACCTGAGCAGCAAATCCCACTGACTGTGCTTGTGGACTGTGACCTTGTAGAGCGGCCCACGAGTGCGCGGTGTGGGTTCCCTCTGGCCAGACAAAAGCCAGGAGGGTGGATGCGTTGCAGGAGCTCATGTAATACCTATTGAACTGCTGAGTGTTCCCCAGCCTGGCTGGCCCCGTAGAGCATCCCTGAGATCACTGACTGCCTCCTGCTTCCCCCCCGGCAGCCGACGCGGCGCCAGGCGTTCCTGCGGAGCGTGAGCATGCCGGCCGACAACAGCCGCGTGCCGTCCCTGCCCCACGACGGGAGGAGACCGGTGCTACAACGACAGACCTCAATCACCCAGACCATCAAGAGGTGAGGCACTGCTTCAGGGCATCCTGCCTTCCACTGCCATCCTTCAGCTGCGGATTTACAGTGTTGCTCTTGCCCCCGTTGCCTGGCTCTCGGGTGGCACGGCTGCCACAGTGGGGTGAGGTTGGCTCTCTTGTTATCCATCATGAGCTTGTGGAAGGGTGGGTGCCAGTAGGTAGCCAGTGTGTCAGCCCAGTGGTGCTGTCTAGCCTGTCTTTAGTACGTGAGGAGACAGGTCCTGGGAGGAGGATGGTGGTGACCAGGACAGTGAGTGGTTCTTGCCGCTTACAGGCAGATTTTGGCTGCCTCCTGCCCCAGGGAAGTGGCTGTTCCTGAGTAAGAGGGTGCCTCAGGCCCTGATGTTTAGCTGTGACGGTATAATGTGGTGTGCTGGGCTTGCTTTGGTGCTGTGTCTGAGAGTACATGACTGCTGGGGGAGGCAGAAGCCCATCCTGAGCAGGCCAGGGCTCTCAGCAGCTTGGCTCCTACCAGAGCTCATTGGCAGGTCCTTGACATGGCTCTGAGAGGTGATGGAGAGAAGGCAGAGGTTGCTCTGGTCATCATTTGTCCCCACGACCCAGTGGTCTCCGAACCCAGCCAGAGAGCTGGATGCTCCTTCACTCCCCATGGCAAAGGCTTATCCCAGGTTTTCCAGAGGGAGTGGCTTTCCCAGCTGCTCTCCTGAGATGACTGGTTCGTATCTCTGGCCGTGTGTCAGGCCTGCCCTGGGTCCCAGGAGCATCCCTGGAGCTCCACAGGTCAGGGGTTCTTCCAGCCAGCCAGGCTTCGCCCACTCACAAGGGAGCAGCTTTCCAGCTCTGGGAGAGACTGATCTCCCACGCACTGTTTGCCTTTGCCTCAGATGTTCCCCAGCTGCCTTGATGGGGAAGCTCTCCCCCAGCAGCTCTTCCTGATCCTGCTGCTCGTGAGGTTGGGAGGGCTGAGCTGTGAAGCAGTGTCTGCTCTTTTCAGGGCCGTGGGCAGCTCCTGGGCCTGTCTGAGGCTGTCCTTGCACACCAAGACTGCCTCTTCCCTTGCCTCCCTGCCCTTGTCCTGCTCCCTGCCAGGACAGTTAGGCAAGAGCGTCTCAAGGGTGAGGGGATATCCTGGGAAGGAGCTGTGGAGGCACTGACAAGAAGCAATGGGTGGGAGGACCAGGGTACCCTCCCCTAAAGGTCCTCACAACGTGCAGCTTGTGTGTAGGGAGGGGATTGGGGAACTGTGAGACACCTCGGTGCTGGTGTGACAGATTTGCCCCCAGTGCTACTACACTGTGAGACAAACAAGACACACAGAGCTACAGTGAGAAGGAAGGAGTGCTGGACAGTGGTGGGGAAGCTCCCACACACTGAGGGAGATGCCAGTGGTGAGCAGACACATGTGACTGTTGCACCAGCAGACCCTGTGATGTGTCTTCCTTCCCAGGCTGGAAGTGCTGGGCTCAGGCTGGTGGCTGCCTGTGCCTAATGTATGTATTTTGTACCCTTGGAAGTACACACAGGGTGCCCCAGAAGAGCACAGACAGTTTTGGAAGACCTGGGGGGGTCACCTGTACTGGGGTGGGGTGTTCAGTGCTGTTTTGCAGCGCCCAGTTGTACATGGGAGTGATTCATGTGCCTGGGTGAAGGCATCCAACACCATTTCCAGTCTCCTGGGGTGTCCAAGGTGTCCACACGAGGCAGCAGATGTGGCATAGAAAGGCTTGTGCACCAGGGAAGACCCTGCCAGGGTCAGCCAGAATGGGCCCAGGGGCTGTTCCAGTGGCATCAGGCACCTGTATCTAAGCAGATCTGCTGACACCTCCATGGTTTCATACTCTGGTATCCAAAACCAACCAGTGGGATCTGTAGCTGGGTGTCTGGGCAGAAGAAGGCAGGGGGATTGCAGCATGCCTAGTATCTTCAAGGGCAACAGGAGACATATGTCAAGAGGTGCAGATGCACCAGGAGGATTCAGCAGCCTCCTGGGTTCAAAGATGCTGTTGTGTGGCTTGAGTTTGGTTGTTTCCCTCGGGTCGTGCTCTCAGCTGGAGGGCCCTGCCACGGGCAGTGCGGCACAGCCACTGCCAGTGGGGCTCTGGCAGGAGACAGGGAGGTGCTGGATGCAGGTGGCTGCTCCCCTCCACAGCCCTGCAGGCTCCTTGCCTTCAGCTCTCTTTTCTTTGCAGTAGACAGGTTCGGTTTCAGAGGAGTCAGACCCTGCCCGCTCGCGGGCCCCGGGTGGGCAGGAGTTCCCTGAGAAAGCGGCAGTCCCTGCCCCGATCGTTTTTCAGGTACTGGTGGCACTGAGTGTGAAACCCACCCCTGCATGTGTGTGCAAGGGCTGTTGTGAGCTGCACAGGCTCTGGCTGTTGCTGAGACCATGCTGAGACCGTGTTGGCTTCCCAGGAGGTCTGCGAGCAGGCGGAGTGAGAAAGTTCATGTGTGCTGCTAACAAAAACCAAGTGTCACTCCTACTAAACGTGTAGGCAGCTGTCAATAAGTAGCATGGACTAACAAGCTGTCCACCCGCCAGCCTCACTCCCTCCTGCCTTTCCTAACAAGCTGTCAACCTCCTGGTGTTCACCGAAGCTGGAATATCTCCCCAGGGCAGCCACAGCCTGGCCTGCCTTTGCTGGGCTATCAGTGCAACACGGGGCTGTGCATATGTTGGCCCCAAAGCCTTCTTGGGGCAGCAGGGGAAGGAGAGGAGGCAGCACTGAACAGATGCTGTCATGTTGTTGCAGATGGGGCTCAGAGCTGGTGAATGGAATAGAGTGTGTCCACTCTTACCCTGTTGACATCGTGGCTTTTTCTAGTTCCAAATGTGACTGCCTTCTTTTTGAGGTGGTCTTTGTTTACTTAGCACCAAAGGGATGAGCCATTCCAGGAGTCCAGGGCCCACTGACCACCAGCCTGAGTCTGGAGCTCAGTAAACTTTTAAATCAGACAAGACAATTAAGTAAACTTTTAAATCAGACAGACAATTCTTCATGTGATTTTGTGTGTGGCAGGTACTGGACTTAATGCCCAGGAGTCCATTCCTGTCCCACCTTCCTCACTGCTGCCCTTGGCCAGCTGCCATTGTGGCACTGTGACCACCTTTGGGAGTGTTTGTGTTTGGTCTTGAGCTTTCAGGGCTGGTCAGCTCAGTGCAATAGGACAGTGAGATCTGAGCTCTGATGTCAGTTGTTACAGAGCTCCAGGGAGTCTGTAGGACATGATGGGGCTCCCCAGCTGAACTGAGGCATTCGGCATCTCCCCAGGGTGCTCCAGGTGCCCTGAACTCTGCAGTCAGCTCTCCTGGACTATCTTGGCTATGATCAGAGGGCTCTTTGCCCTGGTCCTGCCCAGTAGTGTTGGTAGTTCAGTCGTGGTCCTCACAGGGCAAACAGCTCCAGTGGTGCTTGTCCTTCCAGGCAAGTGGGAGCGCAGCTTTGGAGGGCTCTGAGGCTGCTGGTGGTGCAATGGGCCATTGCTCATGTGGGCACGAATGACCCTCATGAGGCCCCATGTATGGGCTTGTCCCCCAGCATCACCTTGCTGTTGAAATGCTGGTTACAGCAGTCCATGGGAAGTTGTGTGAGTTGTCAGACTCTTTTGTGGCATGTGCTGTGCCAGTGAAATGCACAGCCAGAGCCTTACCTCTGTGCTGAGGCCTGGGGAGTCTTGTCAGCTGAGGTGCTGGCCCTGGGCCCTTCTGCTCTGAACAGAGACAATGATTGCTCTGATGAGATGTGGGAGCAGAGTGGTGCTCCAGGACATGTATCCCCATCTCTGAGGGCTGGCATTTGGAGATAGTGAGGTCAGGTGAATTCTAGCCACAGTCCACGTGACCTCATGCCTGCTGAAGGGTCTGTTCCGTATCTTTGAGGGAACAGAGAAGGCTGAGGGCAATGTGTGGTGTTTGCACCTGCAGGTTTTAGCTGGAAGGGCTGTGAGTTTCCAACTCACACTGTTTTGCAGGTGGCAGGTTGATGGTATTTTTGCTCACTAGGGTCTAAAACCACAGGACCAGTTTCCAGTCTTCAGTGTAGTGTCTCAGTTCCCCTGTGTGGCCTTAACTGTACATTTGTCCCAGCCTTTACTCCAGTGTGTTTTAATGCTCACTTTGTGATCTGTGAGGTCTTGCTCCTCAGCAGCTGGAAATCCTGCCCCTGAGCAGGGGGGCTGAGGCCAGGGCTTTGGGTTTGTCTTGGAAGGACTTCCAGGTTTCAACACCTGGGCCAGTCAGCTGTAGGCTGAGAGAGCTTGTCATCTCCTGAGGATGAATTAACTGTGGTGGGAAAGGTTTGGCAGGGTGTGATGACCTCCGTAGGTTTACGGTAGCAGTTGTCCTGCAGGATTTGAAGTAGGTTTTTAGTCTGATTTATCCTGATCCTTCTCTGCCTTTCTTGGGATTTTGCTTCTGATCCACTGCTCTTCTGTGACAGCAGCCAGTTGGCAGCAAACCTGCCTCATGGTTGCAAACCTGTGCTCCTGCTTCTGCACCCAGCAGCTTAGAACTGTGTGTGTGTGCCTTAGCAGAGATCAGGACCACAGCAAACATTTGCTGTTGATGTCACCTTTGAGGAGGATAGAAATCCTGCAGCATGAGATGGAGAAGTTAGGGATATCCTGGGAGTGTGTGTGAGTGTGTGGGGAGACTGGGAGAGAAGAGTGAATTCTGGAGAAGCTACAGAGCTATGAAACAGTACAGTCCCACAATGGGGACCTAGAGCTGGCCTGAAGATGGTAAGTGTTTGCAAAACATGGTTTTTAAAGTAAAAAAACCCCAAACCTTTCACCAAGTTATTTTCTGAATTTCTGTTCCATCTCTCTTTTCCTTTATTTTTAGAAAAACTCAGAACAAACTGTCCTTTACCCACAGTGAATCTCTCCTGGCATTTGTCTTCTGTCTTAAGAGACAAAATGCTGTTGATGGTTCTGGCCAGCATCTGTCCAGGTTGCTCAAACCAGCTGAGGACAAGCTGCAAGATGCTCATGGGGAAGAGCCTGTCGTTGAATTGGGGTGGGCTGGAAGTGACCACCAGGGGTTGTGTCTCTTCATGTGCACAGTCCAAGCAAGCATAAATGCTTCTGAGCACTTGTCTGCTGGCATCTTTCAGAGGCACAGCAGACTGGTTTGGGGTGAGCAAAGACAGCGACGCGACTCAGAAGTGGCAGAGGAAGAGCCTGCGGCACTGCAGCCTGCGCTACGGGAAGCTGAAACCTCAGGTCATCCGGGAGATGGACCTGCCCAGCCAGGACAATATTTCTCTAACCAGCACAGAGACTCCCCCTCCCCTCTATGTGGGACCCTGCCAGCTGGGCATGCAAAAGGTGAGTGCCCTGGGACAGAGGCAGGGCCCTGCTGGGTTCCCTGCGCTGCGGGAGCTGTGACCTGTCTGCGGGCTGAGCTCTGCCCAGACATGTCTGGGCTCCTTTCTCAGACGCTTCTCACGTCTCAGGTACGGTTTGGCAGAGTTCCCCCTCCAGCAGCCTCTCTGGTGTCGCTGGCTGAGATCCCTCAGCTGTGCCAGCAGGAGGCTGAGGGCTGTGTTTGTTATGCTGGGACTGTGGTGATTACACGTGTGCAGCGTGTCCAGGAGCTCTCAGCTCGGGCTTTTTGCTGCCATTTTGCTAGGACCAAATTCTGCTGTGCAGAGTGGTCTGTATCCTGGACCCAAATGTTCAGTAACAGGACACTTACCCTGAGCAGAACACAGGCCATAGCACAGCTACTGTCCTCGTAGAAACCTGGTTATGTTTTAGGACTTTAGAAAGTGTCTCTTGCATCAGTGATGCTACAGCTCTGCTCTTGGGTCCTCAGGAATGGTTTTGAGTGCCTGCAAAGGGCACCTGGTAGCCTCCCACTCACTGCCTTTAACTGTGACCCCAGTTGAGCACATCTGAACTAACCCACAGTGTCCCAGCCCTTCCCTTTGCTCCTCTCATCAACACTGATCACTGTGGTTGATGACTGTGCTTTAGTGAGCCCCACTGCAGCCTGGGCTAGTGGGAAGCAATTCCTGCCAAAGCAGGACCTGCAGCATGGCTGCAGCACTGAAACAGAGGAGAATATTATGCATTTTTCAGTCAGGTTTCACCTTTTGTCCTGTTTCCTGGCCAGCTGAAGAGTCTTGCAGTTGGTCTTCGGCCACAGAAATATTGTTGGGCTCTCTGTGGGCTACGTTAAATCAGAACACGGTGTCAGTGCATGTGTAAGCCCATCAAGCTTCCCGTTGAGTGTTCAGCTGTGGATTAAAAAGGCTCGTAAAACCTTAGGATAAAGCGTAGAGGTCATATGGAAACCACAGCTGTGATGATGTAAGGACAGAGGCAAGGTTTGTAGCTGAAGGCAATATTTTCGTTACGTTGATTCGTATGTTTGGAATAAGTGAGAGCTTTGGCCAGAGGAGTCCCAAAGAAGGGCTTGCAGCTCTTGGAAGCTTGCCTGCTCCATCCAGCTGTTAAACCTAATTAATGGAAGCAGATGTAAATATACAGTTAAGCTTCAACAGGATAACAGGATACTGTTTAAGTCCTGAGCTGTCCAGTCTCAGGAAGGAAACTAGCTGGAGAAGGAACCTGGCTGTTTTCAGGGATTTCTCAAACTCCTGTTTAGACAGCACATTCTCTGTCTGTAGAGCTCACTGGCACGGAGAGAGTGAAACCAAGAGCTCAGGAAGGGCTGAAGGAGGTTTGAGGTGTCCTGGATGACCATAGTCAATACCAACAAAAGAGAAAAAAAAAAGGGGAGAGGGAGAGCTTTGGGACTTAGGCTTGAGTCTTACAACTAGGCCTTAGCTTGCAATAGGCTATTCTGTATCTCCCTGTTGTAGAATTGCTTGTTGGTCCATCCAGCCTGGTTCTTGGTCAGTCCCAGGAGCCAGGCCCCTGTCACGGCCTCAAGATGTTTTCCTGGAGGGAGGAGGGCTGGGTAGGGAAGGGTCTGGGGACGAACGGACTGATGGGCTTCTCCCTGCAGATCATAGACCCCCTGGCCCGCGGCCGAGCGTTCCGCATGGCTGAGGACACCGACGGCTGCAGCATCCCCCACACGCCCATCACCCCCGGGGCCACGTCCCTCTGCTCCTTCACCAGCTCCCGCTCCGGCTTCAACCGCCTGCCCCGGCGCCGCAAGCGGGAGTCGGTGGCCAAGATGAGCTTCCGAGCGGCCGCGGCGCTGGTGAAGGTACGGCTGAGGGAAGGAGCTGCTGAGCAGGGAGGGTGGGGAGGGCCGTGGTGGAGGGGAGGAAGCCCGGCCACCTCCTGCTCTGTTGCAGCCACGTGTCCGGGAGGCAGGACTGGCAAGAAGCAGGGATGGTGGCTCGGTTTTTGCTTTCCCCTTTTGCTTTCCCTTTTTTTTGCCTGGGGCCTTTTTTTGCCAGCAGCCTCAGAGCATTCCAGCAGGTTCAGTTCAGTCTGCCTGGACCCTTGGGTGGTTGAACTGCTCCTGGTGAGCAGTCATGGACAAGCAGAAATACCCAAGGCTATTACTATACAAGTCTTTTTATCCTTCCATGTGTCTGCTTTCCTGGGCCCAGTGACCTTTTTGCTGTGCCCAGTACCACCCATCACTGGTTTGGTCAGTCATTGTGCACTGTGTGGTGGAGGAGCCTGGAGATGGGCACCGTGGACTGAGGAGCAGGGTCTCACCCATGAGTCTCACCAGGAAGGTGTCACACCTCAAGTCTGTTGCGCTCCACACACAACCATGAGGCAGCTCAGCGCCTGGGCTCCCTGTGCACTGGCTGGGGTGGCCCTGTGTGTGCCTGGCAGTGACCTGGTGCCCCTGTCTCTGGCTCAGGGCCGCTCCGTGAAGGACAGCACGCTCAGGAGGGCTCAGCGGCGCAGCTTCACCCCGGCCAGTTTCCTCGAGGAGGACACGGTGGATTTTCCGGATGAGCTCGACACTTCTTTCTTCGCTCGGGTGAGGGGCAGGTCTGGCCTGGTGCTGGCCCCAAAGGCAGGGCAAGACTCCAGTCCTGGCAGGACTGTGTGTTGAAGGCAGCAGCACCGCTTTCTGCCAGGGCTGGTGTCACAAATGGGGGTTGGCATCTTCTGATGGGACTTCTGTGTCTCTGCCCAGGAAGGAGTCCTTCATGAGGAGCTCTCTACTTACCCAGATGAAGTGTTTGAGTCGCCATCAGAAGCTGCAATCAAAGATGCTGAGGTGAAACCTCCAGATCAGACGGATCTCACAGGAGGTGCCTTGGACAAAAACGAGCTCGAAAGAAGCCACTTACTACTGTGAGTATCTTCCTGGAAGCTGCCAAAGCCTAATATGGGGTGACCAACCTGTTTGGAGTGGGACCTTCTGTGTAGAGGAGGCCATATGAGTGCTGTGGGTGCTTGTGCAGAGCTCAGAGCACTGCAGGGATGGGTTTTCTTTAAAACCAGCTCCCCAGGCGTGTGAAAGGTGACTCTGAGGCCACCTCTGCAGTCTCTCCAGCAACTTCCAGCCTCACTTAATGTGTTTCAGAGGTTGTATAATGCCTTGAGGAAACAAAAGACACTTTAAATCAGCTGTGAGGGTGCTGGGGGCCCAGCCTTTGGCTATGGAGAGCGTAGCAAAGACAAGAAGGCTGTTGCCATTGCAACAGTCACCAGTAACTGTTGTGTTGATCCAAGGAGCAGTGTGAAGCATTGCTGAGTGTCGAGCTGGGCTACATTCCTCACTTGAAACGAGAGAAAGGTGTGGCACTGATGCCGAGAGCCCTACAAATATGTGGGTGGTGCTGTACTGTATGCCTGGATTTTTTCCACCTGAGTAACTGGTACTGAGTAATTGCTCCGAGTGTCGTTTCCGAGTCAGCTCTGGCTTAGCTGGCAGCTCACCCCAGCACAGAGCTCTGCTGGGTGTGAACATGGAGCAGACAGGGAGGTCCTTGTTGTGGTTCTGCTGCTCACAGCCCATCTTGCTGTGTTGGCGCTTTCCCTTCAAGTGTTTCCAAGAACTTGGCTCAGTCTTAACATAAGGGGAAGCAGAGAATGGTGGGAGTTTGTTGTCACTCCTCTGAGACGGTTCCAGTCTTCTTGGCACCGCTTGGATCTCCTCAAATAGCTCTATTTATTGAGGAAAAGACGTTTCTTTCACACTTCAGAGGGCTGTTATCACAGTCACGGTCGGGTGTCCTTCACGTGGCCAGGTGTTTGTTTTGGCACAGGCTCCCAGCCCAGCACAGGAAATCCTGGGAAACAGCACCTGTGTAACACACAAACCACTTCAGCTCTGGGGGCAAGTGCAATCTGCACCTTCTGTGGGAGAAGGACACCCCAAGGGGAAGTTGGGGTGTTAAAATGCATCTTTCTGCAAGGTGCAATATATTGAAAAGAGCTGAAGTTTCCAGCAGTATTTTGGCTAAAGAGGTTCAGATCCTCCCTCATCCTGTTGCCTGCCCATTCTTCAGAGCTGTCATCCTCCCTCCAAGGTGCTCTGGTGATCTTTCAGCAAAAAGTTTGTTGTCTGGTTTCTCTCACCATTTCTGACAACCCCTGTCTGTGTGCAGAGTGGGACATTTAGGAAGCCAGAGGAGGTAAACTGGACTAGAGCACATGCCAGGGCCGTGCCTACTCCAGTGCCAGGCAGTGAGGATGGTGAAATGGGAGGTACTTGGGTTTTCTGGTCAGGGTTTGACTGCTGCAGACCTGAACCTCCACACTGCAGTTTAAGAGCAAGGAAATACAAAACTGTCTGGATATGATGGAGACTTACAAAGCAGATACTATTCACCAGTAACCTGTGCAACCTTCATCGGATCTGTTTTGGTAACAACATCTCCTTTTAGCTCAGGATGCTTGGGATTTTTATGGTGGTGTTGAAGCCTGGGTTTGTTGTTCTTAAAAACGCACACATTGGTACAAATAAAGGGGGGAATAGACTGTGGGAGGTAACAGCTTACAGCATGTGACAGTGCCACTTTCCTGGTCTGGGAAGCTGCTTGGATTCTCCTCTGCCTGATTTGGTGGGCACAGGAGGTTTTACCTGCCAGTCCAATCCCACTGCAGTGCTTTAAAGGTGGGGATTTCCACTCCAGGCTAAACTCCACTTCCATTTCACAGCAGACAGCAGAGTAAGAGGAATGAAGTAGAGGAGGAAATTGGTGTGACTGAGACTGCAGATGTGCCTGCTACTGAAACACTTTAAAGCCTTGAGAGCTCCTCAGTGGTGGGGCTTAGTTTGGCACAGCTGCCTCGTGCCACCTTCTGCGTGTCGTCCCGCGCTGTCATCTGCTGGCACCGTGCAACCCTTTGACGTTCACCTTCCACTTCAGGGCACCCTGCGTGCCCTCAGCAGTGGCACAGGCAGAGGGTTTGCTGCCACCCAGGAGCAGGGGAGGGCTGGTCCCCCATGGCTGTCCTGCTTTTGGTTGCAGCCCCCTGGAGCGCGGCTGGAGGAAGCAGAAGGACGGGGGCCTGGCGCAGCCCAAGGTGCGCTTGCGGCAGGAGGTGGTGAGCGTGAGCCCCCCGAGGCGCGGGCAGCGCATCGCCGTGCCCGTCAGGAAGCTCTTTGCCAAGGAGAAGAGGCCCTACGGGCTGGGCATGGTGGGCAAGCTGACCAACAGGACGTACCGCAAGCGCATCGACAGCTACGTCAAACGGCAGATCGAGGACATGGACGATCACAGGTGAGGCTGCAGGCAGGGGAGGTGCCCAGCACACCCAGTGAGTGGGTGAGTGCTGCTGCCCTCTGGGGACTCAGGTCACTACCTCGGGGTGCTGCTGAGACCCCCCAGAGTGTATCCCTGGGGTACAGGGCCAGCAGACAGCACCGTGTCGGTGTCACCGTGCACTGAGAGCTCACCTGGCTCCATGTTGCTTTGGGTGTCTGGATCTCTGCTGCCTGGAGGGACTGCAGGTCTCTGCCCCACCAGCACTGTCCTGTGATGAGCAGGAAGGCTCAGGTATCCCTGTCTCTCTGATCATTCCCCTGGGTTCGTTACTTCAGACACACGGCACAGTTTGGCATCAGGCTTCAGTGTTCTCACGGATGTTTTCTTGGGAAAAGGTGGTTGCCTGCTGTAATGGGGGAATCAGAGTAAACAGGGTCTGTCTGCCAGCAAGGCCTTAGATCATTGCCTGCAGTCCTGGGCATCCCTAGGTGATCCTAGCTGTGTACCCCAGGTTTTAGTGAGGTCCCTGGGGAAAAGCAGCAGCTTTTCTCCTGTGTTCTGTGAGTAGGTGCAGTATGGCTGGGTTTCTGCCTCTGATCTTTTCCCTTTCCCTCCACCCAGGCCTTTCTTCACCTACTGGGTCACCTTTGTGCATTCCCTCATCACCATCCTGGCTGTGTGCATCTACGGCATCGCCCCCGTGGGGTTCTCACAACACGAAACTGTTGATTCAGTAAGTGACTCCCCTCACTTGCCTGGAGCGTGATTGTGTCTCAGCTTCCAGCTGCTGGCTCTTATGTCATAGTCTTCAGCATATTGGCTACTTGCCTGAGGGCCTTGATGGCTGAATTCTGGGTGTCCAGCTGTGGGGGGCTGCCTGCAGCGTCTCTGTGAGCCCCCACACCATCATCCCTCCCTCCTGCAGCCACCTTGCTCTTGACAGCAGATTATATTGACACAAAGCATGGAGGGCTCTTCACAGGCTCTGGCTCTGGCTGTGCTGGCAGCACTTCCAAACAACTTGTTCCCCTCCTGGTGGAGACCAGAAGGATGTTCGTGGCAGGGAAATATTTCAAACTTGGGCTAGGTTTTTGCAGCAGTCGCAGGATTTTGCTTCTGCCAGAAGCAAAACTGATCTGTTTGACTTTGAGAGCTGATCCTGAAGCTGTTGGTAGCCTTCCCACACGTTTTTAAAGGTCTCTGGGGTACAGCCGTGCCCCTGTTCCACGCAGGGAATGCCTGGGGAGTTTCTCACCTATGTGTCTGACAGCTTTCAGAGCACTGCCACCAGCACCTGGGCCTGCACTGCCAGCTGGTGCTGCCTGTGCTGCTGAGCTGTGTGAAGCTTCTCGCAGGCTCTCAGGCCACTCCCAGGTCTGCAGGCCTTGGAATTTTTGAAAGCTGAAGTAGCCAGAGGGAGACATTTGAAGAGAAATCTTAAGATGAAGGTGCCCAAATCTTGACAGGGTTTTTTACCTGCAATCCTGCAAAAGAGCTGTTTGAGAAACCATGGGCCCAGTCATTGCCTGTGGGGATTTCTGTTCATCCTGGGCGCTGTTCCCACCAGCCCCTGCTGCTTGCCCTGCTGACCCTGTGGGCAGGAGCTCACAGGGCTCTTGCTTTCTCTCCTTGCAGGTCTTGCGGAACAGAGGGGTTTATGAAAACGTCAAGTACGTTCAGCAGGAAAACTTCTGGATCGGCCCCAGCTCAGTGAGTGCTGTTGGTGGCACTGTTGGTGGGCAGGTGGGGGACTGTGCGCTGCAGTTGTGCCATCCCAGGGACTGGAGCCCTCCCCTGCTTGGAGCTTGGGGATCTGCCATAGCTCTAAGGGAACAGAGGTGCTCCCAGCCCCAGCCACCCACAGAATGGGCTGCCTGGAGGCTGGGATGGACCTGGGCACTCCTGCTTGGCACCCTGTCCCTACAAAGCCAAGCCTGGGGTTAGAGAAAATGCAGGAGTTAGTTGTATTGTTTTCCTGATGCCATTCCACCCGGGAAAGACAAAGATGAAGAAACAACGTCCCAAAGTTTTCTTTCCCAGCCACGGTGCTGTTCTTTCTGGGACCACAGGCAAGGAAATCCCTGAACTTTTGTTCTGGGCTTGTCTTCCAAGCAAATACCAAGAGTGTGCCTGGTGTGTGTTGGGCTTCATCATGCACGACTTGTCCCTGGTCCCCTGAGTCAGGAGAGGGGCACCACGTGCAGTCCCCCCAGCCTGCTCTGCCCCTTGGCTGAGCTGGGTGTTTCCTCTCTGCCAGGAGGCCCTGATCCACCTGGGGGCCAAGTTCTCACCGTGCATGAGGCAGGACCAGCAGGTGCACAGCTTCATCAGCGCCAAGAGGGAGAAGGAGAAGCACTCGGCCTGTTGTGTGCGGAACGACAAGTCGGGCTGCGTGCAGACCTCGGAGGAGGAGTGCTCAGTGAGTGCCTGGGCCCCTTCCCTGCTGCCCCTGGTGCTTCTCCCTCCCTGGGCTTCATGGTGGCACCTCTCCTCTCTCCTGCAGTCCACGCTGGCCGTGTGGGTGAAGTGGCCCCATCACCCCAGCACACCGATGCTGGCAGGGAACAAGAGGCAGTTCGGGTCTGTTTGTCATCAGGACCCCAGGTAGGTCCTGCCTGGCCCAGCTGCCATCCTGAGGGGACAGGGCTGATGATGAGTCAGTCCCAGGACAGTGGATTGCTGGATGGGACAGCAGCTGCTGTGCAGACCAAGGGATATGGACCAGTGATGTCCCTGCCTGTCCTGATGACTGCAGGAGAGGCTGAGGCAGAGTATGATCTTATTTCTGCTCACCCCTGGTCTCCACTGTTGTTGCTGCTCCACCTGCACAGTGGCTGTTGGGAGCTGTGGGTGCCTTCATCATCCCACTTCCCCTCCTCACCTGCTCCCCACGCACACAGGGGTGTAGCAGTTCCCAGCACACCTCTGCCCCAAGCCCTGCCAGCTGCTGGGTGGCACTGCACACGCTCCCTGTGGGCTGATGCAGAGCTGAGAGCAGCTGAATTCCCACCCTCTGGGTGTGTCCACCTGGAAGGGATCCAGCTGGTTGCTGGGCAGCTGCCTGCTCTCCTGCCTTTGTGCTGCAGCCGTGACTGGAAGGAGGCTGTGGCTTTGACGAGCACGGCCTTGGCTGATCTGGGGGACAGAGGAGAGCTGTGGGATGGCAGCCTGGGGACAGGGACAGTGTGGGAATCCTGCCTGGTGCTGGGGAAAGGTATTTCAGGCTGATTGTGCTCTGTTGCTGCAGGGTGTGTGAGCAGCCAGCCTCGATGGAGCCCCACGAGTGGCCAGACGACATCACCAAGTGGCCGGTGAGCATCCCGGGAGGCACAGAGCCTGCAGGGCAGCTGGACCTTGGCACTGGCATCCCCCTGGGCAGAGCCACAGCTCTGCTGCTGGAAGGGCAGGGCCTCTGCTGCAGCTTCTGCTGCTTGTCACAAGCACCAACTCAGGGCAGCCAGGGTCTGCCTCGCCAAGGCTCAGAGCCCTCCAGCAAATTGCCCTGTGCCAACTAAAGCCCTGGGCCCCTGTGCCAACTAAAGCCTTGGGCCCTACCAGGGTAACAGGAGGATGGAAACCAACTCAGCCTCAGGGCTGGAGAGGAGGTGGCAACTGATGCTCGTGCAGATGGAGTAACAGGCACCATCCTGCTGTCAGAGGGAGGCCTCTGTCTGGGAACTGGCTTCTTCCCAGGGGGCTGTTTTGATTTTATCCAGGCAACAAGCAAAGCTGTGGCTGTCTGACTGCAGCCTGTTGTCGTTTTCCAGATCTGCACAAAAAACAGTGCTGGGAATTACACCAACCACCTCCACATGGACTGTGTGATTACAGGCAGGCCCTGCTGCATTGGGACCAAAGGAAGGTAAGGAGTTCTACCTGTGTGGAGGGGCTGGGTGTTGGGGTGAGACACAGGGGGTCTTTTCAGGTTGTAGACACAGCCATTTGTCCTCCTTGTCCTTTCCACACACAGCCCAGAGCCCTGCTGGGAAGGGGAGTTGGACAGAGGGCCAGGACAGGTCTCCCAGACAGAGCAGGACTCTGGGATGAGCAGGAGATAACAGCCAGCATGAGTCCTTGGTGCAGCAGGGTATCTCACTCAGCTGGTCCTGCAGTTTGGAGGGACTTGGATCATAAGGGATTAAATAATTCTGCTGAGGAGTTCTGCATTTTTCCTTGGGAATGTCCAGCTACATTGGCCCCAACATGGAGTCCACAAGCACTCAAAGGACATGCCAGGCCCTGGGTTTGCAAAAGAGGAGGATGCTGTTCTTCCTCAGTTGCTCCTGAGCTTGAGTAGTTACCCAGTGCTTGGGCCTGGCTTTCCCTACTGGGGAGAATAATCAGTGCTGTCCCAAGGAGTTTCTTTCTCTGTCCCTGAAGGTCATAACCAGGATGCTCCTGGCCAAGGCCCCTTTCCACTCTGGCAGCTGCAGAGGCACAAGACTCCCCCAGCCTGAGACAGCTTCCCCAGGCTGTCAATAGCTGTAAATAGCTCAGCTTTAGCATCTGTTTTGGAGGCTCTGTATGCCGGTGTGTGGAGGTGAGGCAGGGTTCCCTGTGGGAGAGGAGCAGGAGGGGTGTGTGGAGAGTGGCACTGGGCTAAATGGGAATGTATTTGTGCCTCTTTTGAGACACTACAACAGCTGAAGGCATCAGTTCTCACAGATGGGATGAGACAAGGGGTAAGGGCCTGAGAGGACACAGGAGTGATCCATTGTCCCTTCCACGTGTGACTTGTGCCTCCTGCAGGTGTGAAATAACCTCCCGGGAGTATTGTGAATTTATGCGGGGCTATTTCCACGAGGAGGCAACGCTCTGCTCTCAGGTGAGTGTGGAGCTGGGGGGTTGTATGGCTGCTCTTCTCCCTCCAGTTCCCCTTGCCAGCTTGGCAAGGTCTGAGGGGTGGCAGTGCTGCAGTGTGGGTGGCAGTCCTGTGTCCTGTCCCACCCTGAGCCTGCAGGAAGCTGCTGATCCAGACTGGAGTGGCAGAGCTGGCTGCATCTGTCGCTCTTTGGAGGCCAGTTCAGGACTTGGGCTGGCAGCTGTGAAAGCCCAGCACAGGACCAGTGTGTAGGCAGGGGGAGAAGGCACCTGTCCTGCTCCATGAGAGAGCAGATGCCTTGGCTGTGTGTGCTGGGCTGGAGAAGGAGCATAAAGCTGCCACAGGGAAGCACTGGGGTCACATGTAACTTGGTGTTGGGACTTGGTTCAGCAGAGAAGCAGGAGGAGCCCCTCTGCCAGAGGTACCTGCAGGCTCTGCCCTGGCCTTGGTGAAGGGCCCCTCCCATCCCTGCTCCTGCCCTAGGTGCACTGCATGGATGACGTCTGTGGGCTCCTCCCTTTCCTAAATCCAGAAGTCCCCGACCAGTTCTACCGCCTCTGGCTCTCGCTCTTCCTCCACGCTGGGTAAGCAGAGGGGTAAAACTTCCCCTGTCTGGATGGGGGGACCCTCAGCCCTGGGGTTGCTGAGTTGTTCTGGCTGTCCCTTCCCGGGGGACTCAGGGGTGCTGAGCTGTGGTCCCTGCCAAGGTTTACCATCCTGTGTTTGCTGGGAGGGATTAGTGGCGTGGGCAAGGCCAGAGCAGGAGCTCTCAGCAAGGCTGGGGACAGAACACGAGCACAGGGGTGACTTCAGTGGCTGCTGCTTCAGCTCCTGTACTCTGCACTTGGCAGGATCCTGCACTGTCTGGTTTCAATCTGTTTCCAAATGACGATCCTGCGGGACCTAGAGAAGCTGGCAGGATGGCACCGCATCTCTATCATCTACCTTCTCAGTGGCATCACTGGGAACCTTGCCAGTGCAATATTTCTACCCTACAGAGCAGAGGTGGGTCTCCTGCAGACCAGGGTGCTGGTAACTTGCCCTGAACACAACCCTTCTCTCCATGGCTGTGCCTCTGGGGCACGGGCAGAGACACCAGAGCTGGCAGATTGGTAGCTAGAAGATGGCACCACACCATCAGCAGCAACATCTCCCAGAGTACCCTGGGCTTTCCCAGTGCCTGGCCCAGGCTGGCTGCAGGAACAAAGCTGCCTCATAACAAATGGGGAGCTGCCAACCCTGGGGTAGGAGAGGCCTCAGGCAGGCTGGGAATCGAGCGCTGTAGACTGGTGCCAGAGACCCTCCGGTGTCACGAGAGGGGCAAAGGGCAGAGCTCAGCTTTGCCCACAGGAGACTGCATGGCAGGACCATCTTCCAGGTGCTCCCATGAGGAAGAGGGCATGGTGGGTGGCGGGAGCCAGGAGATTGCCTTCAAGGGCTTTCTTCTCTGGCAACTTAAACCAGACCTGCCCACCTTAAATACAAAGTCTGTTCTGGGGATTGCTGGCCTCACACCTTGGTCCTAAATCCCACCAGGCCCCTTTACTCCTTGTACCCCATTACAGGGATGAAGTTGAAGGCTGTGGTGTCTCTTCCCCAAGAAACACCGAACGAGGAGTTGAGTAACAAGTAACTGATGCCTGGGGCTGGCTGCAGAGGCCAGGGAGATGGCATGAGCCCTCACCTTATCTGTAATGCTCTTCTTCTGCAGGTTGGCCCTGCAGGATCCCAGTTTGGGATTCTGGCCTGTCTCTTTGTGGAGCTCTTCCAGAGTTGGCAAATCCTGGCACGCCCATGGAGGGCTTTCTTCAAGCTGCTGGCTGTGGTGCTCTTTCTTTTTGCCTTTGGCCTCCTGCCCTGGATTGATAATTTCGCTCACATTTCAGGATTTATCAGCGGTTTCTTCCTCTCCTTTGCCTTCCTGCCCTACATTAGCTTTGGGAAGTTTGATTTATATAGGAAACGATGCCAAATTATAGTTTTCCAGCTCATCTTCATTGCACTCTTCTCAGGACTCGTGATTCTGTTCTATTTCTACCCCATCAAGTGCGAGTGGTGCGAGTTCCTCACTTGTATACCATTCACAGACAAATTCTGCGAGAAGTACGACCTGGACGCACAGCTCCACTGAAAGGCAAAGGCTGGCTTCTCGAGCAGGCCCTGGAGATGGACTGTCTTTGCATTTGCTGTGCCAGTTCCATGGGGACAAAGCCTCTAATCCAATGACACTTCTAACCCTGCCCGTGGTTAATTTAAACTGTCTCCTTAGCACTTGGCAGGCATGTTTTTTGCCTTATCTCAGAAGACTCTGAAAACAGAACGTTTGTGCCTTGTTCAATTGTATTGAACCTTTTCTGCTGCCATTATTTTTATTACACTAGTTTCAATACTACATTTTTAACCAGAGTTGTTTACTACTGCTAAGGTGGTGATTAAACAGTGAGGTAGCGTTTTAGCTACTGTTAATTGTTCTGCATAGTCTGTGCCTACGTTTGTTACTTAACCTCACTTACACTGTTCCCTGTCCCAGGAGAATCAATCCCCTTTGAGCACCAAAACCAGCCAGATGCAGATCTGCAGCTGGAAATAAGGGCCTGAAAAGCCTCAGAAAACTAGAAGGTCTCTTTAATCCCTGCAAGTGCATTCCACATACAAAGAGCAACCACAAAAAACATGTGAGAATGTCCAGTCAGTGGAGTTTGCTCCTCTTCAGAGTCTTCAACCTTCTCCTCCGGGGAAGTGCTGAATCCACAGTCTGGTCCTGGTAGGGCTGGTTTGTCTGCTCTCTCTCTGTTAAGGAAAGAAAATACTTGGCAGTGACAACGGTTACTGCATGCTGGGCTCTCACCACCACACTGCCCTGACTGTCCAGGAAGGATCAGCCGGTGCCACGGGTGGTCACAGGCACCCTGGAGCAGGTGGCTGCTCGGAGGGCACACATGTGGATGTTGCAAATGTTGAAAGAAGAAGAAAAGGTTACTGTGGTCATAAAGCAACAGTTTCTAACCCAGCTACCCCAGCAGCAAAACAAAAACCCAAGGGTTTGCACGAGCTGCTCTTCCCACTGTTCTTTCAGCCTTGTGAGCGTGTTTTTAGAGACACAGTTTTAAACTTAGTAAGCTTGAGAGTCTTGGCCACATCTTGTGTTTGCATGCACAACTTTCTAAAAATAGCAGTATAATACCAGAATTATTTCTGCATGAGTTACAAACAGGTAAATTACCTGTGGCTACCAGTGCTTCCTGTGCTGGAAGTGTTCTTAAAGGCATCAGCTGCACAAAGTATTATGACCAAAAGTTGCCCAGTGATGTGTCCTGTCTCCTGAGAACAGTGAATCAGCTGAACTCGAGTTTCTATAAACCAGAAAATGGACAGACTGGGAGTCAAAAACTACAGGCTGTGTAAGCTGAGGTCCCTTTCCTAATTCCTCATAGCTTGCAGTAATTGAGAAGGATGGCTCAGTACACATGCACTGTGGCACAGCAGAGAACACGCTGTGTGTGCTCCTTGCATTTCCCTGGGAGCACCAGAGGGACATTTCTGTTGGCTGCAGGTGCTCAGAGTGGCACAGGAGTGGGAGGAGCAGGCACTCAGGGATTACAGTCTGAGGCTCACACAAGCACCAGAGTGACCTGGTGATGACCATCATCTGTCATACAGGCACCCTCCTCCTCCCAGGGGTTCATCAGCACCCAGCCACGCTCCTGACAGCGATTCCCAGACATTTAAGAAGCCTAAAAGAAAGCAATGTCCTAGAAGCAATCCCAGCAAAGGAACACCATGTTTAATGAGTCTCAGGACACTGTGGGAGCAGGTTCAGAGTCTAAACATGAAGTAGAGTTAGACACACACCACTGCCAGCACTAAGGTTTCCCTGCTGCTGCTCCCAGTGTGTGTTACTTGAAGCAGCTGAATTATCACTCCCTACCCTGAGAAGAGCACAACCACCAGCACCAGGATATGGAAACAGGCCACAGCCTCATGCAGAAATGCTCTGCCATACAGTGGAGAGCAGCAACAGCAGCTGCTCTGAGCCTGAACACCACGGCCCAGAGGAAGAAGACGAAGAACTGGGAGCTCTTAATGCACATTGAGGACTTACCCAACAGGTCACTTGCGAAGCTTCTTTATGAAGCAGACCTCGTCCCTGTTCCTGATGCCGTACCTGAACAGAGAGTTATGCTGTTATGTGCCAGTTTCCCAGGAAAAACAACCTTTGAAATCCTATAGTGTCCTCTTTCTCAGGGGCAGATGGACTCGTACGATCATGGGACACATTAAAATTCTCACATGCTGCCAGCCCTGAAGGATCTGATCATCTGCCTTTACCTCCAACCACCCCTTAAATGCAACATCTGTCACCCACTGCTCAGTCTTCCAAGGTCAGCTTTGCTGTCTTGCTAAATTTGTAATACTTCAGACCACCTTTTCTCACTGATGTGCACACTGGCTGGCACACTCAGCACTGCTGTATGGAACAGCAGAATGCTTGAAAGTGCTTCATCTCTCCTCATTCCCAGGAATGGGCATGGAAATGTGGGAGTCACCTGTCACTGTTGTTACCAGATTGTCTCTGAGAGGTGCCTGAGCAGATCCAGAGATCGACACACATATCCTCAGTCTGCTCTTTGCTTGGCATTCTCCATGGACGTTAAGGGGTTGGAATGGACTTTAGAGATCATCCAGTCCCAACCCCCCTGGGCCACGTGCAGGGACACCTCCCACTACACCAGGTTCCTCAAGGCCTTGTCCAACGTCCCTGGACAAGCTGTGCCAGTTCTTGTTCCCTCCTCCTCTGTTCTACATCAGCAGCTCTGCAAGGCTCAGTATAATCTGTTCTGCAGCAGTTTGGGACAGGTGACCAAGGGCTGCATGTCCCAGTGCCTTGGGATGGTCTGAACTGGATAAGCACAGCACAGGATGGTGATGGCTGAGGAACCCCCCCAAGGCCATGCTGTCCTGCAGAGAGCCTCTCAGTCTGCCTGCCCCACCTTCCAGCCAGTTCCCAGCGCAGGACCCACCTGAGCCAGGGCACAGCCTTAGCCCTGCCTGTGGGGATGTGCAGGGCACCCACGGCGCCTCTCAGCCCCCCGGAGCACACCCAGTTACTCACTCTCGCAGCTTCTTTCTGTCATCCGCCAGCTTCTCTCCAGCGTAGGTCAAGTGGTACGTCCTCCATATGTACTTCCTGGGGGAAAAGCACTCAGGGGCAGCCACGGGAGAGCGGGACAGGGTTGGGACGCGCTCCAGACCCCGCTCCCGGCCCCGCTCACCAGCTGAGGTGCTGGACACCGCCCTGCCGCGCCTGCCGCAGCTGGAAGTGTCTCCGCAGCGCCTTCTTCAGCTCCAGCACCGAGGCGTTCTGCACCACCACCACGGCTGCGGGGGCACAGCGGGTCAGAGCCCGGGCCGTGCCCATCGCGGCCCGCCCGCCCCGCGGCCCCGCACGCACGCACGGTCTCGCCGTCCGCCTTGCAGACCCGCACGGTCATGGCCTGCCCGTACTCCAGCGCCACCTGCGAGCCGATCTCCTCCGCCGTCACCTGCGGGGGCCCGGCGGCTCCGTGAGCCCGGACCCCGCCCGGCCCGCCTCGCGCCCCCGCCCGGCCCGGCCCGGCCCGGCCCCACCTGCGGCGGGAGGTCACAGAGCAGCGGGTCCTGCACCAGCCGCGCCAGCGCCGCCTGGAACAGCTCCAGCACCTCGGCGTGCGCCAGCTCCTGGGCCAGCTCCTGGGCCAGCTCCTCCTGGGCCAGCTCCTCCTGCGGCTCCTCCGCCGGCCCCTCCGGCAGCTCCTCCATCGCCGCCATCGCCGGAAGGGGCGGGCGGCGCGGCGGAACCCGCGATGCTGCTCTTCTGCCCGGCCTGCGGGAACGTGCTGGTGGCCGAGGAGGGGCCGCGCTGCCACCGCTTCGCCTGCACCACCTGCCCCTACGTGCGCAATGTCACCAGGAAGGTACCGGGGCGCGGGGCTGGGGGGTGACCCGGGCGGGGGGTGAACCGGGGCGGGGGTCCCGGTCCCGCTGAGCCGCTGGCCGTGCCCGCAGGTGACCAGCAGGAAGTACCCGCGGCTGAAGGAGGTGGACGATGTGCTGGGCGGCGCCGCGGCCTGGGAGAACGTGGACTCCACGGCAGGTAGGGCCGGGCCGGGGGGCGGCCGGGCGGGGGTCGGGTCCGCCCTGCCCTGCCCCGCGCTGCCCTCACGGCCGCTCTCCGTGCCCCGCAGAGCCGTGCCCCAAGTGCGAGCACCCCCGCGCCTACTTCATGCAGATCCAGACGCGCTCGGCCGACGAGCCCATGACCACGTTCTACAAGTGCTGCAACCCGCAGTGCGGGCACCGCTGGCGGGACTGAGGGGGCTGCGGGCATGGGGCGCGGGGGTCCCGCTCCTGCAATAAAACCTGGCCCTGGGTGCGAGGAACCCTCTGCTGCGTGTCTCTTTAAACCAGCTCAGAGCCGCCGTGCCCGGCTGGGAACAACAGGCTCCACCTGGGTGTTTTGCCTGCGCGGGGCCCTCAGTTCACACAGTGCAGGGTTCTGCTGAAAGCACACAGCGTGAGACCCGTGCCCTGCACGCCAAGGAACCGGTGTCTGAAATGCAGACAGGCCTGAAGGTGAATCAGCTGAAGGATGGGGATGAAAGCCCAGCACTGAGCCAGCTGTTGTGCCACGGAACAGGCAAAACAAAGGTGAAGCGTTTCCTCTCTGTGCTACAGATTTTTTTACTGATCAGCTGAGAAAAATGGCAGAGGGATTTTGACCTAACAAAGGAAACGTGAAACTTAATACTGTCCGTTGAAATAAAATTCAACACCTGTGAAAGCAGAATTGTCAACGTGTACAAACAGCTTTAGTATTCAGAGCTAGGAGTGTAGCAGCAAAACAAGCTGTTTGCATATTATGTAGGGCAATGAACATTTGTTCTTAGAGACCCCCATTCAACTGCTTTGAACAGAAGGGAATCCTTACTGGAAGGGTTTTAAATATGTTCAAGATGTACTGTCCAGAATTATTAGATGTTCATCTATAACCCAACAATTTCTCTATGTAAAACTGTGCTCTCTGTATTACAGAGAGGAAAAAACCAAAATGGGACCTGTGGAAACACCCCAAGTTAAATCAGGAACTACAAACTATACACCCTGCAGGCAGTGGTTAACGAAAAGATAATACACTTCAAGCAGGATCACGTATTACTTCTGCCTTAGCATCAAGCTTTATTCTCAGTTTAAACACATTCAGAAGTAAAAAGGATAAATAACTTAATAAAAAGTTATGGAGCAAAAATTGCAGCGTTTCATCTGCATCAACGCTCCCTCCTACAGGCTGAGCCAATTTGATGTGACTCAGCTTTACCTCCTATACAGGGATAATCTGCACCCACTTATTCCAGTTCACTTCAGAGGGGAACACTCTCCCCAGCCTGAGGGTACAGTCTATCGTGGGCTCGTAGTAGATCGTTGGGGTTTCACTCAGTTTGGGATTGTTGAGTTGTTCTTCCACAACTGGCTGAGAGAAGAGTGACACCGGGGATGGCTTTTTCAGGTAGAATCGTCTGATGCAACCCAGAGTTTCCAGACCCTGCAGAAAAATTCACATATTTTAGTTTGGGCAGTTGTAGAAAAAAAAACCAAACAAACCACTGAATGCTGCTCTACCTACAATGTTCTCAGAAATGCTGGGCAAGTTATACCAAAAGTGGCTTCCCTGGAGCCCCTGAGGGGAAGTCATGCTTGCAGGAAGGGCTGCAGTATCACTGCTGTGCTTAAGGTTTTGAATTCTTACAGGGAAAAGAAATGTAAATCAAGATTTAATTTCCAAAGTAGCAGTGGTGGCAACCAAAACTTCACGATGGGAAAAAAATGTAAGATAAACTCAACATTTTCTTGCCATGTACTGTTAAGGATGTGGCCCTTCAGGCAGGTGTGTCAGGACAGAAGGTCTCGTTTACACACAGCACAGACACATTTCAGTCTGATTCCTACTTCAAAGACTGCCCATCTAGAAGGTATATAAGGAAAAAAATTAGGAACACTGGGATTATCTATGGTGATTGGGGATTGGAACCAGATGATCTTTAAGGTCCCTTCCAACCCAAACCATTCTGTGGTCCTGTGATTAATGCTGCATTAAACAGCCATTTAGTACTTCACAGTGACAAGCCCCCACTCTTCAGTAACCACCTAAAATTGCAAGTCCCTGTACACCCACTTCAGAAGCAAGCTCAAATTCTGAACTCAGTAACAGGGTGATTCCAAGGATGGGTAAATCAGGCTTCCCTCCTTCCTCACTGTGAGCACTGACTTGCTCTGGCTTTGGTTCATTTACACCAGAGGGAGAAGGTGGTTTTTCACGGTTCATTCACACTCCCGTTTCCCTGGGACTCCCAGCAATGGATCTGCTGGCTCCTGGTGTGGAAGCTGAGCCGGGTTGAAGCTCCCAGAGTGGCTCAGGTACCTGCAGGATCTCCAGCACAGCCACGGGCTGCAGCACCCCACTGTAATGCTGCAGCAGCGCCGCCTGCGTCAGGCCCGGCTTGCTCATGACGTGATAGAGCACAGCTTCCATCATCCCCTTGCACACAGGCTTGTTCAGAGTGCCATCCACGATCCTCCACGGCCTCCCAATGAAGCAGACATCCTCACAGGCCCTGCAGAACACAATTAAAGCTCAGCTCTGTCAGGAGTTCGTCTGCTTAGAGTTCCCATCAGACTTTCTGCGTTACAGAGACTCTCAGTACATCCACTGCAGTGTTTGCTCACAGGTGGAAATCCCTCTGAGCAGGGACTGGTGCTGATTTACCACACAGCTCCAGACCTGCAGGATTTCACTAGGGGTTCACCACTTTTAGCACTATTACACACCCAGCAGTCAATCCTGAGTCTCTGACCAGGAGAGCTTTGTTTGGTATTGGCTGAGATATCCTCCAAAAGTTGTCCAAGACCTGCTTCAATCTGCAACAGCACTCTGATAGGAAAGAAATTCCTCATTTTTAGTAGCATTGTGGAGTCAAAAGACAGACCCTGCATGGAAATTCCCATTTCTCATACTGCAGTTTCTCCAGGCCTTTCCTGGGCACCTGAAAGTTGAGGCTTTCTGGCACTGGACTTATTTGTGAAGTAAAATCATTTTTTTTCCTCTGATATTTGGAGCCAGTTGGTTTGGGGGTAAAAACATATATCAGAGAAATTTTCTCAGCATGCATATCAACATGAACAATGGAGGAAGACCTGGGGTTTCTCCATCATCAGTTCTCACTGCCCATCACAGCATAAAACTAAGGTTTCCAAATCAACTGCTTCCAGTATTATTTTGGGAGTGCCAAGTGTTTAGTTATTCTGCAGACAGCTCTGTTACTCACCGGTCCCTGGCTGCCTGGGAGGCATCTGTCATGGAGCTGCCTGGAAAGAAAAGGACACATATTTTCTAATTAACTCCAGCTCCTTATCTAGTGGAAGAAAGAGTAAAAGGTGGCCAAGCTGTAAAGTGCAACAGCTTGTTAGGAAACCACCTGAGCAAACTGTTCTCAGTTCTGGGGAGCTCTGAGCTGCCCCTGACCTGCCTGCAGCACACTCCTGCCACACCTCCTGCCACAACCACATCTCTCTGCTCAAGCACACCTTCTGTGCTTCCCTTCCCAAATCCCAGCAAGGAGCTTCATTCCTACAGGTCTGATGACATGGCTGGAGCCCAGGTGACTGAGAGAACTGAGTGTCACAGGGAGCTCTGCAGGGTCTCAGCATGAGGGTGTGGGTTACCCCAGACTCCTGGGAATCACATGGAAGTTGAGCAGGAGCCCAAGTAGCTGCAGACATGGGAGTGCAAACTCAGGATTCCAGCAGGGCTCAGTTTCAAAGCAAAGGTTGTCTCTCTGCTGCTCCCATTACATTATGTCATGGGCTTTAATTAGACACTTACTTAACAGAGGTATTCCTACCATACCCAGAGGGGAACAGCTCTGTCTTAAGCACATGTAAACCCTTCACTGGCCAGTAAGAACTCCATGTTTGATAACAGAACTACTGCTTTTTCTCTCCTGTGTTACAAACAAGTGAAGGAAGTTAAAGCCAGAAGAATACTTTGGTAGTTTCATTTAAGAACTGCTGAGGTCTCTGCTGTTTAGACAGTATCTATTTCCTGCAGGAAGGCTCCAGTTAAACAATTCCAAGCTCTAAGATGTCAGGGATCAGCCTGCACTGATTCACAGCTGCCTCTGAACGTGGGTACTGGCAGAGCTTGGCAGGATCCCACACGAGCAGTCAGGCAGTGATTCAGTCTGAAATCAGAGCCCATAGAAACAAAACCAAAATAAAATCCCCCACAAACTACTTAATGTAAAGCTTGGCAAGAACTACTGACTATTAGAAAGCAAAACTGGCAGTAAAGAGGAAATGAAAATGGAGTCCAATTGGGTTACAAACGAGGCTGTTAATCCCCCTGGCGTGTGCTGCTTCCTGGTTTAAGGATTTCAGGACTTTCAGCCATGGACATTCGAGCTGCAGGCACACCAGCAGTGCTGTGCTTTCCAGGCTTAGAGATGTCTGGCCTTTGGACTGAAGCCAGCCATGAGCAACTTCAGTTCCAAATACATTTTTGAAGAAGAGCAAGCCATGGAAACAAGTTTCTGAGGAAAATGTATTTTTGGAGTAGTTGTGAACATTTCAGCAAAAGGAACAGGAAGGAATCTCTGAGGGAATCTCTGATGTATTTGAAACCTCCAAGACCTTCCAGAAACTAGTGTTATGCCAATTTGTCTGGAGGAATGACAACCTCTGCCTGGTGTAGCTTCATAAAGGATCTAGGATTTGCTTATAAAATAGCACCATCCATTTGGGATCAGCTGCTGGTGAGCTGGTCTCTGCATCTTGGATGAAGAGTGCTCCTACATACCTTTGGAGACTCCTGGGTTCTCCTGCAAGTAGGAAAGGTCATCATCCTGCTCACTGGCTGGTTGTTCAGGCTTGGGGATCTCTCTGTTGTGCTCAATGCTGAGCTCATTGTTCTCCACTTCAAACTCTTTGTCCTCAGGACAAGGCTGATCTTGTTCCTTGTGAGTGTCCACATGCACAGCCTCTGGAGCAGGCTCTGGGAGTTCTGGAGCAGGCGCTGGGAGTTCTGGAGCAGGCTCTGGGAGTTCAGCTGGGTGTTCTGCCTGCCCTCCCAGGGAACCTACTTCTTCACCCCCAGTTACAGCTTCCTTTGCCCTAACAGGATCAGCAGCACCTGCTTCAAAGTTACTTGATGCTCTCTCCAGGCCGCCCTGTGAGCCCTGGCAGAGCTGACTGTCCCCCTCAAGGACATCATTTTCAGTCTTACATCTCTTCCTCGGGGGTTCTTCATCACTCACAGGCTGG